ATTCATTTTTTGACCGATGCCACGCGAGTGATATTTTTGACCCTCTCAAATATCCTTTCGTAGTCGGATCATATTTTGACCATCTTCTGAAAATACACGGAGAAAAAAGTACGCGACTATTCCATGTTAGTTCCATGTAGTTGTGGAGTCAAACAGAGGGCCACCAAGAAATTCGGATGGCCCACTGGATAATTCGGATTTGGCAGCCTAATTTTAAAAGGAATTCCTCGGAAAAGTAGTGTTTGTTCTTCAAAAATTAAGCTGCCATATTTGAATTTTGGATGAGCCATCAGCATTTATTAGTGGCCCTCTGTTTATTCCCAGGACTAGTGGGTAGCACAACCCCAGAATCAGATTTCTCATCGAACGAATTTTATTCAATCCATTAAGGGTTTAACCAAACGTTGTCCATTAACCGATCCCCGAAATCATTCCTATTCCATAACGCCTCTTCGGTATGGGTTCGAATAATGGTTTATCGAAGTCTTATCGAGTTTGGCCCCAAAAATTCAATCATAGAAAAAATTAATGATAATCTTCTTTAAGTAATGTGAAAAACGACGAAGAGTTAATGAATGCTGTACCCACTACATTGCAGTGAGCAAGTGTCTTGAGGCTAGATAACACCGCGAACACATGATTTTCATCTAGACCCAACGAGCCCTCAACAGTGGTTTACAGTCATTATCTCCATACTCCGCATACTACTAACAAAACTAGTTTTTTTCAAACAATTTTATTCTGATTATGTGCATGCGAAAAAATTAGAAGCTCTTACCAAATTTTTACCGATAATTATAACTTAAGTTACGAATTCAATCTAAAGCTATGTATAGATACTCAAAGATCAACTAATTTTAATGAACACCCTGATGGTTGGCACCCAGAGCTAACCCAGAGTGAACCCAGACTGTGTTGTATCCAGCAACCCAGTCTGGGTTGGGCAAAAGCACTGAGTTGAGGTTAAATGGTGAATTTGGAGGAGATCTAAACGCAGGGTGTACTATGATCTTTTTCCGATTGTTGCTGAGTTATTTTAAGCATATAATGATATTGTTGAAGGATGTGGATAATTAAATGAATGTGTTTGAACGCTAATGTGCTAGCTCTGGGTAAAATCCAAAACCCAGGCAGATGATTTTTATTCATTAACGAGGTAGCAATGTTGGTGAACAATTCTGGAGATAACTGTATGTTCAGAGCGACCACGGGAGGTATATTAAAATAAGGGGAAGGGTGGCAACGATTGTTTGAGGGATGAAATGCCAACTCTGGGTCAACACTGAGTCACAGTCTCCATCCCAGAGTTGTCTTTCTCTATATTTAATTTTTTTTTAATATGGAGAAATAAATAAAAGGGGTGAATAAAAAGAATCATTTAACCATTTGAATGATTCTAGGGTCACCTAGACGTGCGGAGGCGACTTGGCATATATTTAAAGTGAAAAATATCAACTCTGGGTCAACACTGGGTCACAGTCTCCA